CAGTGGGGGTGGGGGGGCAGAGGGGAGCAGGGAGCGTGTGGATGAGGGGGAGCCCGGGGTGGTGGTGGGGGGGGTGCTTGTTGCACGGGCGTCGAGGGCGAGGGCGCCTCTCAGCCTCGCATCACCTTGGGTGCGCACGAACAGACTGGCCGCAGCACAGCGCATGCCACCGTCGAATCAAGTCAAGAGTCAAATTCAGCCGAGTCAGACTTTGTCAAGAGGGGATGGAAGACACACAAAGCTTACAGGCGCAAGGGGGGTGGTTGACGGCCCCACCTGACGGAGTAGAATGCCAGGTTGGCACACAGGCACCCCACCGCGAGCGGCAGCGACGGCGCACCCGCCAGCGCCAGCGGCAGCGCGGACGTGGCGCAGCCCAGGAAGGAGGCGCACTGGAAGGCGCGCCGCACCGCCAGGGCAGGGGCGCCCCCGCGGATCAGCCTGCGCGGTGCGGGGACGGTTAGGGGAAGTTGTCATGGGGAGAGGGACGGACAGAGGTTGCGCACCGGGGGTGGGGGCTCTTGGGATTTGGATGGGGCTGGGCGCTATGCATAAGCGGGCCGAATGGCGCTGTGGCTGTTAGCATCAGGCCATTGCACCCCGTTTCCTTACAAAAGCATTTTTGTGTGCAGGGCACGCCACACCCAGTGACGGTCAACCCTCGAGCTGCTGACAAGGCAGGCGGCAGCGGCCCCAGCCCCTTTTACACACCCCTTCCCCTGCAGCCGCACGCGGGGCTGCCGCCACACACCTGTCCGCCGCGCCGCCCGAGGCGAGGCCGACGGCCGCGGCGGCGAGCCAGGGTAGGGCGGCCATGGCCCCCGTGGCGCTCAGCTGCTGGCGGCCCAAAGAAGACAGGTACACAGGGATCCAGTTCTGTGAGTTGCGGGGCGTGCGGAAATTGAAAAGCTGCGGGTTGCGATATGCTGGATCATTGAATTGTGCAAGCGGTGGCAAAAAGTGCAACTGCGCATGCATGCACGTGCGCGAGCATGCAGGTGCCGCGGGCGTGTGGAGCGGAGCCAGGTCAAGCGCAGTGTGTCATTGTGACGTGTCCTGCGCGGGGCACCGCGCCTGCGTCGCAGTTGAGGGTCGGCGGCAGTGCTTTGGGTGCAACCAAGGAGCAGCTGGGTTGACAGCTGGCCCTGCGCACAGCCTGTGCACATGAACCACGCAGGCTCGCAGGAGCAAAACTGGCATGCAATACAGTAACCACTGGGTGCCCTTTGCGAACCAGCGCATACGTGTATTCATTCATGTCAGTTCCCAGATCTCACATCAGATCACCTGCATTAGAAAAAAGCCGTACCCGATCGTCGCGTGCGCCGCGCACAGCACCGCAACCTGGCGCGCCCCGCGGCGCGTCAGCCGCATGCCCAAAAACGACACGCCTTCCGCCGCCGGCGTGGGCCCGGCGGGCCGCTGCGCGGCCTGCCTGCCATCCTCTTTGCCTGCTGCAAACGAGCCGGCCGCGCCTTGGCC